CCTGCGGAATTGGGCTACTTTAACACTTGCCGCGTTTTGTAGTTTTGGGCTAGTTTTGAGCAGCAATAAGGCGGGTTTTGTTGTGAAAAGCTGGCAACCCTGGTCACGCTTATTGACAGTGTAAGATGATTTACGATTAGCCGTGTTGGAAATCCAACCACGTACTGGCATGTAATCTCAGAAGCAGGCTCAGCCATCACATTGAATCGGGTAAACTGGTTATATATTTGTTTCAGTATAATTATGCACGCTATACCAGGGGTGGTTCTAAACCCTTTTTAGGTGGGTTTCAGCCCCCCAAAACTATCTTAACGATCAGGCCAGTGCTGCTTCCTCAAAAGTTTTAAGTCTTGTTAGTTTAAACATTAAAGTAATTTTAAGCCATTTAAGCCCAAGACATCTCAATGCGGTATGCACGCGCTGTGATAGAGCGTTTCTATGCGCACCGCTCACACACCTGAAGTGCACAAACAGATAGCCTTCTCAGACAGCAGGTGAATACCAATGGCTGTCTTGACAAATATCCTTGTCAGCACAGTCTGTTGTTTTAAGTGAATGTAAACAGTAAAGAAAATATCAAATGTATTTCAGTATAATGGATCCGTGCATTTATTATATAAATAATGTTAATCAAATAGAGCAAAAGAAATTAGGCGCGAGTGAAATTAGACCAACTTGGGGGGGCGCATGCCCTAAAGGGTTGAAAACCCCTGGTCTAAAGCAAAAGAGCTGTAAAAATTCAAAATCTTTTAGAGCTCCTTGTATTTAGGTTTTCATAATCCATTTGAAAAAATGAATGTATAAATCTGTATATATACAATTTTATTTATAAGTGTCATGTTTGTGTTTTTTTTTTTTTTTTCTATTCATGTAAGCCAGTGTTTCCCAACCGGGGTGCCGTGTAAAAAAAAATCATTTTTTAATATTTTTAAATTGCTAAAATGTTCAAAAAAAGCATCTATTATATAATATCTATTTCTGATGTCGCCAATAATTAGAGATGCACCGAAATTTCGGCTGCCGAAAATTAGATCACCGATCAGGTTTCACTTTCACGTGGTGTGACGCTCTGCGTATTATCCCGCTATATGCGTGTGCGCTCCGCTCAGTCGCTCCACTCGTATACCGTTCATGCTCATCGGAACAGCAAAGTCCACTCAAAAATTGAGCCGACAGGAAACATCGATGTAGTACAGTATTGTTTCTGTCTGCAATAGCCCTACTGTGTTGTAACATGGTGTGGTATATGGGCAACTCTGGTAACGCTGCCCTCTCATTCATTGATCTGCTAACCGTTATGTTATGCTCACGTGTTCTGATAATAATAGCTTTCTAGGACTAAACATTATTTGGATAAT